TAGTAGTTTCATTTTGTGTAAAAATAAGCAATACATTTGACCAGCAACATAGGTGTCTGGTTACCATAGCAACATGACAACATGTAGGTAGAGCAAGAGTATGACACAGTTATCCTGGTTCATCGTCAATGGAGCTTATTATTCAAAGGTCAGTTACAAAACCTTATCAAACTAGATTACTTTTATGTATGTTGATCTATTTTGAGTCAATCAATTAGGTATGATACTTACTCATTTTAAAAATGTGTTCCAGGTGCCGAAGAAAGGTCTTAAAGATGCTATGAGAAAAAACGACCAGATCTCCGGGTGTCTACAAAACTAAGACCTAAGACCTACAAAACTTCATAACAGGGTCTTAGTTTTATAACGTGGGGGTCTTAGTTTTATAACAGGGTCTTAGTTTTATAACGTGGGGGGTCTTAGTTTTATAACAGGGTCTTAGTTTTTAACGTGGGGGGTCTTAGTTTTATAACGTGGGGGGTCTTAGTTTTATAACGTGGGGGGTCTTAGTTTTATAACAGGGTCTTAGTTTTATAACGTGGGGGGTCTTAGTCTTATAACAGGGTCTTAGTTTTATAACGTGGGGGTCTTAGTTTTTTAACAGGGTCTTAGTTTTATTACGTGGGGGGTCTTAGTATTATAACAGGGTCTTAGTTTTATAACGTGGGGGGGTCTTAGTTTTATAACAGGGTCTTAGTTTTATAACGTGGGGGGTCTTAGTTTTATAACAGGGTCTTAGTTTTATAACGTGGGGGGTCTTAGTTTTATAACAGGGTCTTAGTTTTATAACGTGGGGGGTCTTAGTTTTATAACAGGGTCTTAGTTTTATAACGTGGGGGGTCTTAGTTTTATAACAGGGTCTTAGTTTTATAACGTGGGGGGTCTTAGTTTTATAACAGGGTCTTAGTTTTATAACGTGGGGGGTCTTAGTTTTATAACAGGGTCTTACTTTTATAACGTGGGGGGTCTTAGTTTTATAACAGGGTCTTAGTTTTATTACGTGGGGGTCTTAGTTTTATAACAGGGTCTTAGTTTTATAACGTGGGGAGTCTTAGTTTTATAACAGGGTCTTAGTTTTATAACGTGGGGGGGGTCTTAGTTTTATAACAGGGTCTTAGTTTTATAACGTGGGGGGTCTTAGTTTTATAACAGGGTCTTATTACGTGGGGGGTCTTTGTTTTATAACAGGGTCTTAGTTTTATTACGTGGGGGGTCTTAGTTTTATAACAGGGTCTTAGTTTTATAACGTTCGGGGTCTAAGTTTTATAACAGGGTCTTAGTTTTATAACGTGGGGGGTCTTAGTTTTATAACAGGGTCTTAGTTTTATAACGTGGGGGGGTCTTAGTTTTATAACAGGGTCTTAGTTTTATAACGTGGGGGGTCTTAGTTCTGTAACAGGGTCTTAGTTTTATAACGTGGGGGGTCTTAGTTTTATAACTGGGTCTTAGTTTTATAACGTGGGGGGTCTTAGTTCTATAACAGGGTCTTAGTTTTATAACGTGGGGGGTCTTAGTTTTATAACAGGGTCTTAGTTTTATAACGTGGGGGTCTTAGTTTTATAACGTGGGGGGTCTTAGTTTTATAACAGGGTCTTAGTTTTATTACATGGGGGGTCTTAGTATTATAACAGGGTCTTAGTTTTATAACGTGGGGGGTCTTAGTTTTATAACAGGGTCTTAGTTTTATTACATGGGGGGTCTTAGTTTTATAACAGGGTCTTAGTTTTATAACGTGGGGGTCTTAGTTTTGTAGGTCTTAGGTCTTAGTTTTGTAGACACCCCCAGATCTCCTTTGGAACTTTTACTTTCACCATGATAATGCCCAAGCCCACAGAGCCAATGTTACAATAGAGGCAATACACAAGTGCTTGTAGGCCCAACCTGATATGGCCCCATGTGACTTTCATATGTTTCCAGAGGCCAAGAAACCACTGTGTGGTATCGGTTTCGATGCGAAGCTGGCCTTATCCAGGCATTTACTAATATCGTTTATGCTACAGCTAAAGGTGAACTTCACCATGTATTTCAGAAACGCTGTAAGAAATGTGTAGCACATGGTGGTGACTATATTGAAGGCGAATGAACTTAGAAACTATAATTACCTATTGTATGAGATTTTATGGGGGTGAAACTCCACGAATTGAAATGATCTGGAAAAGCTCTTCAATAGGATAGTTTCTAAATAGCAGAAAAATCAATGAAATCTCGTGCTGCCATCTTTTATTCAGCTTTTAACTCTGGCTAGAGCTCCATTCACTTACATGCTAAAATCTTGGAAAAGTGGCTTAATTTCATGATTTATCAAAGTGTGTTTGTTGAATCTGTATAAAACTTGAATGATATACCACATGATGACCCTGTTTATGAACATGTTGTGATTCAACATGCTAATGTTGATTGACATACAAATAATCCACGGTTTTAAAGAATTTTAGCATTGCATCTATGGACATTTGGCCCAACTTTTTTTAAATTGTCATAGAAAATTATTCAAATTACATAACTGTGTAAATCAAAGCTATTTTAGGAGAAAACATTCCACTGAATTCAAATATACCATTTAAAAGAAGGTAATGTAAGTCATTAGAGGTCTAATATGCAAGTCTCTTAAAATCTCACGAAAAACGAGATTTAGCGAGATTTCAAAAGCTATATGGAAACTATACTATTGCTGTAATTCGGAATAAAGTTTAATTTATTCCAGCTCCACCTACCCTGTTGTCATGTTGCTATAGTAACCAGGCACCTATGTTGCTGGTCAGATTTATTGTTTATTTTTACACAAAATGAAACTACTATATATGGGGTGGTTTTGGCCAAATATGAACAATATTCATAAAGTATTAAGATTTTTAGAGCAAACAGTTCGGAACTTTTGGATCGACCCTCGTATATTCACCCATTCACCAGTTGGGAGTACTAAATTCTTTTTTGTTGTCTTCTGACCTGACCGAAAATTACCCAACCCACACACTTTTTTCTGGCCCACCGAACCCGAAGAATATCTGACCCGTGACACCTCTATATAATGCTTATATATCATATTTCCACTTTTCTTTTCCATTTCAAAAAAGATTGTACCCATCACATCTTTCAGTTTTTAAACTTAATAATAAAAGGAAAACTGAATAAAACTAAAATTAGTGTTCTCCATGTTATTTTGCCATATGGATAGCTCATATTGTTATTCATCAATTTTAACTCACTTTGGTTAACCAGTCTCTATATCTTTAAATCCCCTGGTCTAATTCATTTTTGCTTTTAAGGAATAAACCAAGTCTCAAAGCACATTTTAAACTAAATATTAGGATTAGGATTGCACTTTTGGTATAAATTAGCCCAACATTTTTGAAAACGTATGTTGAAGGGCTTATTGTCCCAACAATATCACAGAGTTAAATTAGCTTACTAGTAATTATCATGTCATATGTTTTATGGATTAATAATTCGTGAATCTAAAAGATACAAGTACCTGTCTTCACGATTGGAAAAATATTTACTATCAAAGTCATCTGAAATTCTTTGCGATAAAGGATAAACTACGTGGCCTTTTAATGCTTGTCATCAGTTCATACTTTTTGGCACAAATATGACAACATACTTCTCTTTCAATGATGTTGTCAGTAAAAGTTAATTGCAGATTGGATTTTGAGTTAAACATAATCACCCTATGCAGACAGAGCGTGTGGGAAATATTGGGTGCGGAGCAAATGAGCGGAGGGTGCGGAGCTAACGGTCATTTTTGAATTTAAATTTGGGATATTTCTGAAACTAAGCCGTTTTGGGACTTCAAATATACCAAGATATGTGTATTTGACACCAAATATCAATACAATTGTGCAAATAGTAGCGCAATTCATTCTATAGCGACGCAGTGTGCCTTAAACCTTTCCCAGACCTATATATTTTGAAATTATCCTTTTAATACTGAGTCCCCAGCATTCATAAAAAATGGTGTTCAAGGTACACTATCTATACAAATTATTTTTGCATCTTGGAAGCCAGGCAGTATCTGTGTGATTTTATAAAAATTCGGAAATGTTTTTCAGATATGAGCCCCCTCTAAATATTGGGTGCGGAGGAGCTCCATAAACGTACCTCCGCACCCAATATTTAGAGGGGCTCATATCTGAAGAACATTTTCGAATTTTTATAAAATCACACAGATACTGCCTGGCTTCCAAGATGCAAAAATAATTTGCATGGGTAGTGTATCTTGAACACCATTTTTTATGAATGCTGGGGACGCAGTATTAAAAGGATAGTCTCAAAATATATAGGTCTGGGAAATGTTTAAGGCATAATGCGTCGCTATAAAATGAACTGCGCTACTATTTTCACAATCTTATTGATATTTGGTGTCAAATACACATATCTTGGTATATTTGAAGTCCAAAAACGGCTTAGTTTCAGAAATATCCCAATTTTAAATTCAAAAATGACCGTTAGCTCCGCACCCTCCGCTCATTTGCGCCGCACCCAATATTTCCCACAGGCTCTGTCTGCATAGGGTGATAATTGATTCTTTTTTAACCAGTTATCAGTAAGGTAATAAATGTTATAGATTGTAATAGGCATAATGTTTTAAATTGAATTGTAACACATTTTATTATTTTTGATCAAAAACTAGTTTCAAATTTTATATGATGATGGCTAGGGACAAAGGAGCTTTCCCCAAGAAGAGATTTTCAAGATGGCCACTGAATTTTAAAATGGCCACCATATTTCGTAAAAATGCACCTGTTTAAATCCTCAGAAAATAGCCAAAATTCAACATATGACTGTCCGAAATCTGTTGCGATACTTTCCCTCCTCCTTTAACTGAAATAGATAGTTACAAAATATACAGACTTATCATCGTTGCATGATGAAGTACTGTACATGTAGGAGACTTGACCTTAGTATAAATTACATGTTTTTTTTACTTGCTGTTTTCATCACCCATTACATACCAGAAAGAGAGATACAATGCCATTAATTATTAAAAAATATATTCTTACCAAATTTTTGTTCGAGTGTTGAACAGTTTCTTTGTTCCACTATTATTTCTTTTGTAACTGCAACAAGATCTGACTTCCGATTTTTTTGGATGTGACCAAGACTTAAATATATGAATGACACATTTGCAAATATAGATATAGATAGTAATGTATAAATAAATGTTTTCCATTGTATTTTTATGCTTTTAAAAATTTGGACCGCCATCATCGTAAGTCTGTTTTCTGAGAAGTGGAGTTAGTCTTGTTTAAAATCGAACGTGGTTTAGAAATAAAACCCTCATGATAAGATAATTAGATTAAGCATCTTTTTAAGTTAATATTTTACTTGTAGTTTAATGTTTAATGTTTTGCTTTTATGTCTCCACATCACATAATGTTGGGCTATATTGTCGGACTAGTGGCAATCTGTCTGTCTGCCTGTCAGTCTGTCTGTCTGTCCATACGTTCGGTAGTGTTCTCCAAAACCGCAACTGGTTAACAACTTCAGCTTTTCAGGGATAATGTTTGAGCACATACAGATGTGGTAGAAAAAAATTTGACTCGATCCCCACCTACTTCCTGTTGGCCATTGATAATGACTGATACATACTTCCTGTCTGCCATTTTGAAGTCAATTGCCAAAAGCCTTATCTGCAAACTTGAAGAAAAATGGCTGCACAGTTATTTTAAAAACTTTCAACATTTTCTTAAACTCACTTCGTTCTACATCTGACTAGGTGTTGGACATGTTAGCTTAGTCATGGAGGCTATTTTGAATATTTAAAAACAAAGTCAGCGAGTGGTAATATTTTTTATCCCACGATTAATGTGTTATCTGTACAATAACAGGTATTGATATTTCTGATATTATTGAAATCCGTGTGATATTTTCCAGAAAATCGTTTATCAAACTCATATGCGTGTGATATCGTTTATCTCACGCATATCCGTGTGATATCACATTTCCATTTCGCGCCACAATATTGTTGGAAATTAGGTCAGATAATTTATTCTCTTTTGAGAAAATAGGTCCGTCAATTTATTCTCTTTAATAATCCACATGTCAAATATATCATAAAAATATATATAATGTAAGAATAAGTGGTTACATGTAGTTTTTTTTAATTGTAAAAAGTTCAGAAAAATTTTAATGTATGCATTATTTTTTCTAAAAACACCAATGTTTAGTACCATAGTTCATAATTGCATACGATGATATCATGATTGGTCCAGTTTCAAGCCTCATAGCATCTGAAACAAAACAACTATGGAACATAACTTTGTCATAAATGTTTACACTGTAATTTATTGTATTATTGATTAACAAATAAGCAAAATGGCACATTTTGGAATTATTGCAATGTAAAATAAATACATCAATCAATACTGTAGTTTAATCAACTGAATTACATGTTCCAAGTGACAATTCTAATTGATTATCAGAATAAAGATTTTTATTAAAATAAACTTGTAGTTTCAATCTGTTCCTATCTTACTTCCTGCGAAAGCTATTTGGATTTTGATATAATAGCTTTCCCACGGAGCATTTGGACAGCTCAATGATCGTGACCTTTGAAATCGAATTAAGTCGATCCGCGGCTTACTTTTGGTCTCTAACTGTGTCTTACATCAGTATCATCAATCCGTGTAAGTATTGGAGCGCTGGAGTACTTCTTTTTCGATCAAGACTTGTAATTGTTAGTCGAGAGAATCGTTTTACTGCCAAATTCCAATATGGCGGTTTCTGCTCGGACATTTTCGTAAATCTCCGGAGGTTGTCCGAACCTAACTAATTCTCAAAATTCATTTCGTTCGTTGCGTATCTCGCACCTAGCAAACCGCCATATTGGAAATAGGTCTGTAAAACCTTAACTCGATGAACAATTTACAAGTCTTGATCGAAAAAGAAGTACTCCAGCGCTCCAATACTTACACGGATTGATGATACTGATGTAAGACACAGTTAGAGACCAAAAGTAAGCCGCGGATCGACTTAATTCAATTTCAAAGGTCACTATTGATCAGCTGTTCACTTCTCCGTTTGAGAGCCATAAGTTTCAAAATCTAACATGGCTCTCGAAGTGAGTAATTCCTATCAATACAATCTTGATTGAGCATCGGGGACAAATGGCATATTGGGAAAAATCAGAGTATTTGCAGTTCAGTGCATAGCCCCAGGTAAAGGAGGCTTATAATAGATAGGGCCATTCAAAGATACTCTTATATGTTTAACATCTTGTTTAGTGTCCCCATTTAAGACAGTTTGGAGGTATAAACCAGTTTTTTTCAATTTTATTTGTTATTTGGTTATGTAACCAATACATATTATGGCACTTACTTTTGTTTTAAAAAATTGCCTAAATAGGAGGGAGGAGACATTAAACACATGTTTAAATTTGAATGGCCTATTGAGGTTTCCTCGAGTCGAGGATTTCCTGGGGTGCTGCATTAAACCGCAATATAATATCAGGGGTTTCCTTAGCAGCAGGCAACAGACAATTTTCACCAGTTGTTTTTACAAAATTGCCTGTTGTATTTAGAGACTTTTTTACTTTTCCATGTTTTTATGATTTCCATTAATTTTGCCTGTTGTGAGAAATTCTAGTGAAACCCCTGAATATATAACTAATATTTATAATATGCTAGCTGCATCATGAAATCAAGGCTATTATAGCATCCTCGTTAAAACTCATATTCTGTCTTAAAGGGGCAACAAACACGAGAGAATGTTAGGACTTTGCTTGAATTACCCCAGAATGAAATAACCCCATGTCTCAATTCAATGAAGGGCCTCTAATGAGTAACTTTCTAAAAAATAGTTACAGTCTTACAATATTTCTGCTCATAACTTTTCATATTATTCTTATATTTTTACATAAGTCAAAGCTTAAAACTCACCTCGTGATTAACTAGATGTCTCCTTTTTCAATTCTAATAAATTTAGACATGATCTTCAATTAAATCTGCAATTAATTCTGTATTTGAGCAGACATCCCTTTATCAGATAATGAAATGAAATGAAATATGAAAAAAACAGTGCCTTGCTTTTTGAAGATCGCTTCCAACATTTTACACTCTTTTCTGCTATTTTAATATTTAGTGGAGCACGTATCATAATCCTTTCCTATTATGCTAATCCAAGTCTTACTTTGTGAACATCCATAATCACGGACATAAGCAAATACCCAATAAATAATGAGAAAATATGACTAGTAGTAAGTAACAGTTTCTCTAGTTGTGATATACCATTGGAAAGGTGAATGGTGAACAGGTCAAGACATTTTTATCATGTATATATTGTGATAGTTTTCACCTATTAAAGGCAGAATGAGATATGGTGAGCAAATTTCCAAATCTTTGTGTCAATGTTAATATTATGGGGAATTTTGTATTTATAATTTTGTTTGTAATTTTTTCTTTTCCGATGGTGTATTCAAACATAATGGGTTGTTTATTCAGCTGTGATTTCCTCATGGCTTAATTGTCCATAGCTCTGATGGTTCAGCATTTGTGTTCTCTGGGGCAAGCTTGGCAAAGTCTATAGGCTGGAAATACTCTAGCTTGTGACTGAAATAAAGAGGAAAACTTCTCATGATTAGAATTTTGGTGTATGAGGTAGCCATACTAACATATAAGTAAAACAAAGTAAAAAATTACAATTTTCTCCAATGGTCCGCCCTCAATAGATTTTTTAGTTAAAACAATGTAAATGATAAGTTAAAAGTCCCCAAATCTTTGAAATTAATATTCAGGTTTCATAAGTTTTATATAAAGTAATTGAGTTATTTTGACATTATTTAATTTGATATTTCAAGTTGGTACCAAATTAAAAAACAGTTAGTATACTACAGGGTGGGCCAAAAAAAACCACCCCCCTAGCCATTGTTCCTGATAAATATTTATTTTTTAACATGTACACCAACAATGATATATCATTTTAAAGATAATTTAATTTGCAACAAAATGATATATAACAGCACCATTTTCAACAACTCCATATAGAAATATAACCAATTATGTGACATGGGGGTCAAAAAACACCTTTTCAATTTTCATCGATTTTGCGAACAAAAGTCTATTTCTACCAAATTTTACTGTTCAGTTAAAAATTGCAACATTTTCATGAGTCTTTCATAATTGGATATTATATATTGTTTTCATTCAGTTTTTGAACCATGCATGCTCAATAAACATGTGTATGCTTATAAAACAAATTAATTTCTTCTTCAGTCTGTCCAAATATGGCTCAATAGACCCATCCCCCGGACCCATCCTCTGACCAGATTATTCGCTTAAGAAGCGGAAGCTATTGGTTGATGGCATAACCGATGGAGTATGCAGAAGTACCATTCAACTGCTAGTTATTCTTTCTTTTAGTTCCTCTACATCCCTGATAGGCTGGGTATCTTTAAATAACAACTGTTCTAGATGCCCCCAGGTGTGGTAATCAACATTATTGGTATCTGGACTGTCAGTAAGCCATTTGTCCGGGCTAGAGATGGTGTCATTTCGAATCTCCAAAAACTCCAGGGTAGCATTGGACCTGTGTGATGAAGCACTTTCCTATCAGAAAATGAAATTTCTTTCACATGTTTTTATATCCTTGAGGAGTCCTTTTTAAAACCTCATGTCATTAACATTCAGAGTATATTTTTGCTACTGGTTCAACAAAAACAGGGCCTGTACAGTCTTTCCTTTTTGGGAAACTCCGAGTGGACACCACTACCCTTTCAGAAAAATGTCATCTCGATTTGAGGAGCCTTTTATCGCAAATGTACCTATTCTTGCTTACTGATATGTAGAGTCTATCCTGTTGATTACATGTATAGTATTTGGATTATTTAGAACAGTTGGTCTATGAAGATCACTAGCCTATCAGGGATGTAGACAAACTGAAAGAATGAATAATTACGAGTTCGATGGTACTTCCACAGAGATCCATCAATTATACCAATGGCTTTCGCATCTTTAGCGAATTATCCGATCAGAGGATTGGTCCGGGGGTGGGTCTATTGAGCCATATTTGGACAGACTTAAGAAGAAATTAATTTGTTTTATAAGCATACACATGTTTATTGTGCATGAATGGTTCAAAAACTGAATGAAAACAATAATATAATATCCAATTATGAAAGACTCATGACAATGTTGCAATTTTTAACTGAACAGTAAAATTTGGTAGAAATAGGCTATTGTTCGCAAAATCGATGAAAATTGAAAAGGTGTTTTTTGACCCCCATGTCACATAAATGGTTATATCTCGAACCAGGGTTGTTGAAAATTGTTCTATTATATATCATTTTGTTGCAAATTAAATTATCTTTAGAATGATATATCATTGCTGGTGTACCTGTTAGAAAATAAAAATTTATCAGGAGTAATGGCTAGGGGGGTGGTTTTTTTTGGCCCACCCTGTAGTATATATTGGTTTAGCTGATGCCATGATCTGCCCCACTTAAATATCCACATCAACTATATACTATTGTCTCAAAAAGGAAAGCCTCTCAGCTTGATGCCACCCACCCCCTCCTGCCACCTCCCACATTTTATTATGTAAGGCCCTGCTCCCTACCTCCCTCCCTCTCTTTCATTCTCCCCTATGCAGGCCTGTAGCCAGCTTTTGCCAAGGGTTCACTTTTTGAAAATTTCCAGTGGGTGTTCACATTTGACAGCTTTGGCCTAAAATCACTGGAAAAGTGCTCAGAATGGTGAAAACCAGCATGATTTAGAAAAACAATTGGGGAAGGGGGACTCACTAGAATCTGCCTGCCCATGTGTGTGTTTTACTTACAAATCAGGATCAGTGTATTTCCCTTCCTCCGTAGGATACAACGCTTCATACATTCTTTGGTCCCCTGATCCATGGATAGCATATGCATTGAACATTGTAACATTTGGTGGGAAATAGTTCAAGGGTATCCTTGCAAGACCAGTCCATGTGGAACCATTTATCTTGGATGTGTAGTCAACTGGGAGACTGTGCTGAAATTGAAAAATAGTACATGATACAGTAGAATAATAATATCACATGGGGTACAGGGTGTTTCAATTAAAATGAGATCACCTTTACATTCAATATATCTTTCTATAATACTTCCAGGGATGATATACCTTTGGATAGAAAATGTCATTTCTAATAAAATGATATATATCACTCAATCAACTCAATTGAATATTGATCAAAAACCATTTTTCATATGATTAGAGATATTCTCTTATGATCCAGATTTCAAATGATGCATATGGCACATTGAAAATCAGTTGAACGATGGAGTTCAATATAGGAAATGAACCAAGATGTTTTTATAGTAGGATAATATTATTGTCCCAGTATGAAGTCAAAAGTAAAAATCATATACATGTAAATGTATTTAAAAAGGTGCAAAATAACATTTTTTAAATTGATGTACCATAAATTCTTTGAAACATCTTTTATAAAAATTACCATAGAAACAGAAGCATATGTGTGTACATAGTGGTAAGCCACGCCTTTTCCATCTCTGTCCTTATTGATGCAACAAAGAGATATGCGTATCAGAATGATGTATGTATGTAATGCCAGTATCAAAACATACAAATTGCCTGTAACCTACGTACACCTATATTTCAACTTGATATGAAAAGGCATTAACATGCAAAATGTCACCACCTGCAATTTGTTACAGACACCAACCACCAAACACCAACCGCTGAATGCTGGACACTGAATACTAACCACTGAACACCATTCACAAAAAAGTTGGGAGAAAAAAATGTTGGGCCCCTAAAACCCAAAAGTGGGCCCTTTTGAAATTTTGAAGCCCATTTTCTTCAAAATTTGGCCTGAAATTAAAAAAAGGCCTTACAAGGCCCAGTAATTACCAAAAGGCCCACTTTTTGGGGCCTTCAGGCCTTTCTTGGCCCAAATCTTTTTTGGCCCATGTCACATGACATGAGAGCATTTGTATTTATTGAACAACCCTCATACATACATTAAATGCATTGCGTACTCCTCTCAACAGCAGGAGAAGGTGTTGACCATGCCTGAAAAATAAAAAACCAAATAAATACAAATTCATTTCAATACATGTTTCCGATAAATCCTGCCATCTATTGATCAATCAGAGAAACTATAATCATGTCATTGATTGTAGTTTTTTAAAATTAGCAATATTAATAATAAGTTGATCCCATTTTTGCATGGACAAGTTGCTACCTACAACTTATGACATCATCAATCCAGCCAATATATTATACAGGGCGTCAAATAAGTCTGTTCTCCCCCTTTAACTTTTTTAATTTAGTAATAACACAGGGTTTTTATATATCATCTTAAAGGGAATTTAATTTGCTGATCACACACAAAATATACGAGACATTGGTTAAATTCCCAAATTTTAAGAGCATTTCTAATAATGTTCACATTCACATTTTTAATACATGTAGTTCGTATGTTTACCTCAAACAGCTCGCACAGCCTCAATTCTATGTGGATACGATTCCAAAATGTTCACAAACAGGGGTATTGCACTTTCAAGGCTTCCAAGAGCTTTCTTGGTACATTTGAGCAATGTGTCATAGCTATGAAGTTTCTCCTCTGGTTGATCTCTTATGGATCAAAAGGTGACAAGATTTATCAGAAATGTCTATTGGTCACTGTTTAATAAATCATTATAGATTTCTATAGAAGATTACTATTTTCAAATATAGACCTACTTTACATTTCAAAGATATTTAATCAATTTGCTCACTTACGGACAGAATTCCAATTCTACATAGCATGGCTCACCACTGCCATCTTCTCCAAGGAAGAAGGCCTCAACCACTACAACAAAAGACAAAAAATGTCACCACCTGCCATTTGTTACAGATGTCAAACTCCGAACTAAATGCCAACCACCAACTGTCAAACATTGGAGATTATGTCACTCACCACTCGTGGTGGTAATAATATCGTAAAGTTCTGATGATGTTAATTCAGAAAAGTCTCACTTCAACCCCCCCACACACACACACTTACCTCACCCTGATGCAACATGAAATTCAGTAAATTCATCCTTAGAGTAAGACCAGTTAGACCACAGACACAGACATGTAGAATTCAATTTCTGAGAAAGCTATTTTTATAAATTCCTATATTAAATAGTTGTGCAATAAATCAGAAATATTAGTTTATCACTAAAAGTTAATTCTTTCCCCCAAGGAAGAATTTATTCAGGATACCCTTTGATAAAAAACTCATAACACATCAATTGCCCCACAACTGCCAAAATGGTTCATCTGGGTGTCCAAAGGTTGAGAAAGTGAAGGGAGGGGTCAACAGAAATAAGGTATAACTTTTAAATCTCTATTCCCTTACCTTGGAAGAAATCATTCAGGATACCTTTTGATGAAAAAAAATCATTATGTACCTTCATATTCCCATAGCTCCCAGAATGGTTCACCCGGTGCTCCGCCAGGATTCGAGGGGTCATTAAAGAAGGGAGCTTCGATATGGATTAAAATACAACTGTCATTCCTACTAAGTCGTAGCTTCACTGGAGCATGACCAGTTGGCCTGCTATCCCACTGCTGGGTGATCTCAAAATCCATTGAACTGCAAATTTGAGGAAATTAATATCATTTTTAAATTCAATAATTCAGTAAGATGAAGTTTACCTATGTCAAAGGCTGCTGACTTATATTCAGCCTTTGCCAAGCCAGGATTGGCCATAAGGTAATCATAACTTCTGAAACTGAAAGATTGAATTCAGCTGCTTACAGTGTATGTATCACAATGTTCCTTACATCAGTGGCCTTTGCTTATGAAACTATGGAAATTTAATAATCATAGAAGTTTCCACTCCACTGATAAAAAGAAGTCCTGATCAGCAGATATGCAGCTGAAAATTTCGATACTTTCAAGAGCAAAGGCCATGTAAGGAACATTCTGATATAGAAAGAAAGCAGCTGAATTCAGTATTTCCATTTCAGATGTTATGATTACCTACGGCCAATACCAGCCAGCGAAAGGCTGAATTATCAGATCAGTTCAACAGCCTTAGAAATAGGTAAGATGAGCTCATTTTAATATACTGGGGTGATATCATATGTATACCACGATACATAATGAGAATAGATCTATAAATGGGGGGGGGGGGGGGGGTAAAATAAGACATACATGTCACAATATTCTTCAGGTAGATGAAGATGTTCACGATAGCATGAATACTTTGTTGTTAGATCAAATATACAAAATAACTTATCACCGAAACTCGAATCAAAAAATCCTAATGTTCTTACTCTAAATGATTGATGAGTCTGAGTGAACATGCCTTGATTGAATGATCCACGTGTACATTTATTAATATTTGAAAGAAATGAAAGTTTATTTGGTATGACAGCACCATTAAATTGTACGACACAATATTTTGAACGAACATAGATAGTGAAAAACATACGATTATACCAGATAAAGTAGATATCGGCTTTATGAGTCAGAAATTTCCAATCCTGTTATTTATTTACATGTCCGCCATTTTACAGGTCACATGACTTGAATTTAGATCACGTGACACCATGAAAAGTAGCCATACTTGTTTTGGAGTTTTGAACTTTTTAGTGACAATTAAAATACCTGGATTTACATCGGAATCTCATTGTATGTTGATCTCAAAGTGGATGATATCGATTAAGGTAATATTGAACTTCAGTTATCAGCACGTATATAACATTAAGCTTCACGTTGATTTTTGAAAACAATTGAAGTTATTTGGACGTAAAAATATGGGTCATTTTAAATTTTCAACAAACTATTGGGAGTCTTCCAAGTGCAAGATGATCAATGGAAATCAGTACACCAATGAAATTCCTTGGTCTCATATAATATCATGTTTATCAATTCATAAATTGTGTTTTTTCCTCTTGGATATTGTGTATTTTTTCTTAGATGACAACCTGTCTAAATTAATCAAAACTCGACAGTCTTATCAGTGCCGTGCATCTCCATCTAGCTCTAAAAAGACAGATGCAAATATGGGCTTTCAAGATACAATGTAAAGTGAGATAGCAGCCATATTTTGTTCAGATAATGGTCTGAATTGATATGTATGGTCCCAAATCAAACCTCTGTTATAGATCAGAGGGCATTCATACACTTTCATACACATCATACAAATGAATCAGCACTCGTGGGTGTTCTTTATATATATACCCCTGGCCTATAACCCCACTCCTATTATACTGGACTTTAAAATCAAACAGCTCAAGCCAAACAATAGATTCAAGAAATCTACGCATTTTGCTTAAGTTCACCTGTTGAATGATACCCTGCCACCTGTTGCCATAGTTATGACATGAAGATGTGCTAATAAGAGCAACATCTTTGGTAACATCTCTTAGTGTCATATGCAGTTTAATACTTTCTAGTTATGTATCATGCTGTTTAAGAAATGAAAAACATTCCAGATTCCTGATGCATGTATTATTAACCATAACAGGATGATATCTACCAGAAGTGGATCCTATATAACACTTTTTAGGTTGTTTAAAACTTTTTGAACACTCCAATATAAATTCATACATTTGATATGTTTGATGAATATGTTTTTCTGAGTATTTTGATGAGGTTATCATTGTTTTAGCAAATATGATTCCTAGGGATGAGAGATAGACAAACAGAGTTCATGAAAATAAGCAATTGAGGAATAAGACTTCCTTATCACTATATAGCAGACTTATTCATAGAAATCCAGTACTATTTTCTAAAAACAGTAAAACAAGTCTCATTCAAACCATACCAGAATGGACCAAATATGTTCATATTAATAGTTGTTCATACATCAATTTTGTCAAATGTCAGTACACTGTATATGGGTCAGTAAGAGATAGCAAAATTGGGACTGAGAAAAGGTGTTCACATTGAGAGGTGTTCAATTTTAGAGAGCTGTCCAGATACAGGTTTCTCTGTATATCTCACTGTACACTTTACTGTTACTGTACATTTACATGTATGCATACTTTAAACTGTTGTTTTAAAGCATTAATTTGGATTTATCCTTTATTAACTCTAGCTCCTGACATATTTATAATTATTGATTGTTAAGTCAACTTGCAATATTTTATTTTGTAAGCCAGTTGTTAAATATTGCTTTTGGACCAGTACAGTGAATGTTTTAATTGACCTTGTTTTCTGGTTTTTATTTTGATGTACTGAAACATTTATTGATGGTAAAGTGTTAAAACAAGTTTGAAATTCCTTAAAAATTAACCACATTCAGTATATGTTTGTAAAAGTATTTTGAATCGACATTCTGTTTATTATCTAGTGGAATGATAAAATGATGTATCTATATCTGATACTGTATCAATAAAAATGTTAATTCCATTTTGGTAGCAAAATTGGTATGGCTTTGGATTTTAAGGTGGCTTTATCCTAACAATTTTGACCATCTGTGCTGTATTTGCCTCTTTTCAATCAATGTGTGCTTTGTAGTTAAAGAACCAATAGCTGTAATTCTTACCTTAAATAACCTTTAAGTATTTTAAATTCATTATGATATGAAACATACATAATCAATTGACAGAACCATGTTTTCTGAAAACAACAAAGCTTAAAATTTCTTCACCTAGTACACAGTATGACAAGTTCTAAATTATTTAGACTACTTGTACCTTTTTATCATACCCCTGGGTGCTATATTATGATTAGTTTGTCAATTTCTTCAAGCTTCTTATCTTTTATAATTACAGAAAAGAACATTTGTGTATTATAATTCATATTAAATGTGTAAGTTAAGTATGTATATAAATATTGATCATATTTCTGGAATGTCATGGTAACATTAATAAAAAAACATGATAAGAACAAATTTACAATAATTATAAGCACAGACAAGCAGATTGTATCTAATATAAACACACACCTAGTGAATGTTTAAAATTAATCAAACAATAGGGTATTATTAAATTATAGATTTGACTGCTTGAAGTGCAATGTATTATCATATAAAAGTATTGTCTCATGCACTTATCTTCCTGATAAATTTAACTTATCATTGGATTTGTTTGTCATAAACATCATGTATATTAGTCACCTATCTTGTTGACAGGTCTAATATTTTGTTTGAAGATAGGAGAATCAACTGAGCAAAAACTGTTTTAAAAGTTTGACAATTTAAAAAGGTCATAAAAATAATAGCATATTGAAAGTGAATCACTATTTTTGATCACTCACATCTTTTACTTTGAAAACAATTGATCATTAGCATGAAAACACGCCGAGGGCAATATGGTAATGACAATGATACCAAGGTCAAGTTTACACATATACATAGTAGGTGGTATGGGTCCATTTATATAAGGATTAGGCCATCTTGGCAAGGTGTACCATTCTGTTATATTTCTTGTCATTTGGAATAGTTTGATTGATAAAAATGATTGTGTTTGTTGCATTATGGTATGTAATTCATTTTATATTTACTATTCTGCCAGTCAATAAACACCTACAATCCATATTAATCACAGAAGCATCTGTCATATCCAGCATACAGATTAGCTATGCTCAGACTACAGCTCACATCAATATTCTATATTTTTACACAAACCCAATTTTTCATATACATCATTGGATATAACATTTATTCAGAATTTCATTGCTGATAACAAAGCAGCTGTTGTTAATAGTCTATTTAGTATTAATAAAGTAATTTGTTTTCCTTAGGATGGTCTGCATGATAAGAATTTTTGCAATTTTCAAAAGGTGACTGCTCAATTTTCTAGTTATTTAAAGAAAAATTAACACTCAATTTATAATCTGTGTACATTACAGCAAAAATGAAAGATTTAGGCCATGTTTGGAACGAGTTATGTTTATCTGAAAAAAGCACATGGTCATCAAAATGGTAGAAAGTACATGTTCTTATAAATATATTCTTCCTAAGATCTTTCATTTACGAAGAGTATGGTGATAGCTCTGATAAAGAGCACTTATAACCATCACGATTCACGTAATACAAATTCACGAAATGAACTCAATTTATTTTGATTTTGAGTTCATTAACACGTGTGGTCTTTACAAGCTGGTGTAATGCATGCAGTATTGATAACAGATATCACGAAACAAAATTGAAACAAATCGATAAATGTGTGGTTTGTGATTGCATACCAATACAGTGACTATCTCACATATACTTGAATGTGAACTTTCTCCGTTTTCTATTCCAAAGTTTGTGCTGATATCTAGATTTAAACATTTGTGTTCTGCATGCCTTTTACGAAGATATTCAAGTTTTCACTTAAATATTTCAATACTTTTTTTAACCTTCCATTCATGCATTCAATTTACATTAAAGGAGTTTTAGATTTTACTTCATTTTTGGGGTGGGGTCACTTTGACTTGTGCTACTTAAGTATGCAGTATAGTATTGAGTTTGTGCTCAGAATATTTAAACTTGTTTCTTATGATTCTCGAGTATGATCAGCTACATGCTTTACGTTACCCTGAGGAAGAGTAACCTGTACATAAGGTTGGTAGATGAAGTTCTCTTTTCAAAAATCAAAACTATTGAAAACGGTCATACTTATGTTCTATGTGACACCAATGAGTTGGGGGGGGGGAGGGGGGGGGGGGGGTAAGTATAAAATACAGTGTACAGTACTTAGTATTGGTTATACAATACTAGCAATATTCATAACATGATGGGAATATTCCAAATGAGACAATTAAATTAAACATATACTAAAAAGGGGTGTTATATTCCTTATAAGGAGTTTTGGACATCAAAGGTATAATGTTATGATTACAATATATATTATGCTATCATAAACTATTGCCAAATATAATTGATTTGGCAATAATATCTTTGCCAAATTCTTATTTTACTAAATACATAAATATATGTGAAAAGTATCATTAAATAGAAGTAGGATGAAATCTGAACAAACTTAAATCTTAATCCCATAGTAGTGGAGGGACCTGTTAAAATGGAAAGAATTTAAACGCTGTTTGCTTAATCTAAAATCCTGAGAATTAACATTTCTAGTTCTTTTCCTGAGAAATGTGCCAATTAAAGTGTATTACTGGTATTGTCCATGTTCTTTATGATTATGATATGACATTTTATGCAATGTACAGTGAAACCTGTAAAGTGGAACATCTCTGTAAGTAGAAAATTTTAAGAGTCCCAAGACCAATTGATTTAATGTTAAATGAACCTCCCAAGTGGAACATTTTCTAGAGGAACAGTTGTTCCACTTGGACAAGTTTTACTGCATGGCTGTTTTGTTTGTGAGAGGGGAATAATCAGGGGATGGGGAATTGTAATTAACATTAAACACAAACACAGTATGTTACATTACATTTGCCTGAAATTTGATATATTTGCCTTATTCAGATCCTGTAGTTAAATGTCCAACTAAAATATTTACATGCATGTAAAACCTGGCAATGCCGATATGTTAAAAAACAGTTGTTTAAATACAGGACCTTTGAATCAATATTTAGTTGAATTATAAAGCCATGTTAAGCATAGTACTCATGTGCTTCAAACAAAGGTGATTTTTTCAATTCAAGAAAAATGTCTCAAGTAAACTCGAGGTTAGTGACTGATGTCTTTTGAAAAAAATAAACAATTGCAGTTATTGAGAAGAATTATTTCCCCCTATCAGTTTCAATTTGAGAATATAGATGTCAGGGAAGTGCATAGGAAAGAAGAACAGATGTTTGTGTTGCTGCAATATCAAAGATACTCATTCATAATTTTTTTTTCTTGTTTTCTTGGGGATGACTTCTATTTCCATCAGCCAGTGATTGGTCAAAATTCTCTTAAGTGAAAAAATAAGCCAAAAGTTTTATTAAAATACAGATATCATCAATTAGTGCATAATTAAAAAGCTACATAGTTTTGAACTTGAGGGCAGGGTCTGACTCTACATAGAATAAACTGATTTTTATTTGTGTATTAATCATTCACACCATTGTATTTTCAGACATGTGAAATGGCTTGACCAAGAGGAACAAAACTTCATTCCTCAACCCTGAATAGTACAAATATACGCAGAGTTAATGAGATTGTGGGCTTCATCAAACCTGAAATGATACTATCATAGAAAGAAGGGACATCTTTTGTAGGTATATGTATAGTTCTCTATATTTCTACTTTAGTATGAAAGCAGACGAGACAAGTCTCATTTTTAGGTGTTTATCTAACGTAAATTGTGAAGATCGATATCTGCTAGACTATATAAGTATTATATACAATGTATACATGTCTGTTCGAAGTGGAAAGGGGGGGGCATTGGGGGTGTCTACTTCCCATCCAAAAAAAAGTTTTTAGAGATTGTGGTTGTTATGGCTCTCAAATATGCCCAGAATGCACCCACTCGGTGAGCTGATGGCATAACCCACCCATACGCAAAAGTCCCCCCCCCCTTGGGTAATCCTGAGGATGGGCCTGATGCACAGTAAATCTGAAGTTTTGTCTCACCAATTTGAATTTGTTTCACCAATTTGAATTTGTCTCACCCATTTGAATTTGTCTCACCTATTTGAATTTGTCTTACCAATTTGAATTTGCCTCACTGATTTGAATTTGTCTCACCGATTTGAATTTGTCTCACCAATTTGAATTTGCCTCACCGATTTGAATTTGTCTCACCAATTTGAATTTGCCTCACCTATTTGAATTTGTCTCACCATTTTGAATTTGCCTCACCTTTTTAGAAACATTGAAATATACAGTAAAAACCTTTACCAAATTTTCTTAAACTTTAATTTACTATGTTACAAATTTACTATCTAACATCCAGGATAGCTTGCCTCTAGGTTGAGGCACATTTAGGAGAAATCTGCTTTCTACAAATATAACTCTTACTTATTACAAACTGGAACTTTGGTGCTAGTTTAAAACTTTAATGTAACTTATATTGAATTTCATATTATTTTCAATGAGCTGTTGACATTTGACACTGCCTTATATATAGAAGGGGACAAATGTTCTCAGGACCTCAGTTAACCAAAGTTATTCCTATGATTTACTTTGTATTAAATTAATAATGTCATACATGTATGCATGATTAGTATTAGATAAAAATGAAATATGATGTCATTGGGTTGTTATGGTTACAAAGAAAAGTGATCTATATCAGCCTGTTTAACTCAACTACTTCCCATTAGAGTCATTTCCAATAAAATTTACTTTACTTTTTAAAGGACGATTCTCGGTTTGGAGAAGAAAGTTCATCAATCTAAATGAGCATTATCCCTGCTTCGGACAAATTAGATTTTTTTACAAAATATAGATTTGAATGTCTTCTTTTGAATAGTCATAATTTAATTTGGGTAATATTTCTAGATTATTCGCAAAAAAATATTAGCGCAGTACACTGGTGAACTTCTTTCCCCAAATCGAGACTTGCATTTTATTGAATCGGTCTAATTGAGCGTTATCCCTGCTTCAGACCAATTTGTTATTTTTACATCTTGTAGATTTAAATGTCCTCTTTTGAATATTCATAGTTTAATTTGGGTAATATTTCTATATTGTTCATGAAAAAAATTATAAGCCAGGAGACTGTTCTCCAAACCGAGAATCGTCCTCTACAAACTTTAATATATTTTCAGTGATATTTGACAATGCCAGTTTTGTGACTGAAGCCAATCTACACCTAACTCTAGCAAGATGGCTACCTCAGGTGATGTCACAATGGTACCAACGACGTCCTATGAACAGGACTTATCTGCCGATACAACAGTATCATCAGGTGAGTTTTTTTTATAAAATTAAGAAAAATAACTGGTCGCATGGTTAACTATCTGTACATGTATATTGTATGAAGTGTATTTTATTTATTTACTTTATTGTAATTGGTTCGGTGATCTCCACAGAATTGAAGCAACCATACATTGCACCCAGATATAAATACCTTGCACCAGTAGAATAATTCCTTTTCACCTAATTGAGGATTTGAAAATCATGGAAGTTTAGAATTTACCTATTGATTTTAGAAATTTCTCTGAGACGGAGTTTGTAAAACAAGAAATTGCAACCAAATGAGAAAAATGTTGCTGGAGATCACTAAGCTAGAATTAGTTGTTATTTAAGTATAAGTATTATAATAAGTATTACGTTTAGGAAATAGTACTTATTTAAGATGCTTGGCAACTTTTTAGCCACAATAGTTATCAGCAAAGATGGTGATATCCAGTTAAAAGGTTCTGGAGAGAACATATCTCAACTATCAAACCCCCAGTCAACGCCTAAAAAATTCCCAGGAAAACTACGCAGTCAGTCCATGCTGACCAAGACACCCCCGCTTCATGCTCAACAGTTTCGGAAAGCTAGCTCAATGAAGCGTAATGAAGCCCCACCACCTGCCAGTGGTAGCCAGGAGCATTGGTGGACAGGTTTCCCAGGTTATACTGATGTACCTAAGCAAGAACAAGGTAACTGTGATGTGGTCACCATAGCAACTGTGTGGTAGCATCTTTAAAGCTTAGGGTAGCCATAGCAACATTGGCTTAGTGATTGTGGTGATGGTAACCTCCACAACTGCAGCTGATTTGTTTGTTTGTGTGACAATAGCAACCAGCACTAATATAGGAGAATGGTAACTATGCAGTTGATTGCCATAGCATCTACTGACTATTACTAGAGAAATGTCATAGTAACTACACATAGCAGCTAGATATCACTTTATTACTAGATGTCACATTTTTCCTTGCAATCACTATCTAGCAACAGCTACCTAGCAACTCAAATTGATATGGCAACAGCTTGGTGATGGTGGTCTACAGTTGATGTTACCAAATGTGATAATGCCACTTAACAATTGTGCCTATTAATGTCTATTGCAGCAGGTTTGGAGCTACACCGTGTATGAATGTGTTTGTCATGCACCATTTTGTTTGGCTCTTCTATGTTTCAGCGACTTAAATCTTATACACTGGACCACCACAATTAAATATTAGAGCTAGCAAATCTAGTAGATGGGCACTTCACCCACTGGAGCTTTGCAAAAGTGGCTTAGTTTGCACTCATCTCACAATTCAATTATACCTACAGGCCTGTAGCCAGGATTTGCCAAGGGGGGGTCCAATTTTCAAAAGTTTCCAGGGGGGGTTCTCATTTAACAATTTTGGCCCATATATGGCTAAAATTACTTGAGTAGTGCTCAAAATAGTGAAAAACTGCATGATTTTGAAAGAATTTTTGGCCCTTCTGGCTACAGGCCTGACCTATTTGAAAATGAGAAAAAAGGGCAAATTTAAACCACTTGAAAATGAGAAAGATCATGAAAATTGGCAGATTTTGACCAGTGTTTGCCTGAATTGTGAAATGAGAACAAAAGTTCTTGGCTGAATATTGTAACTTAATGCATCAGCTGACCTCTATTACCAATGAATGTACAATAATGGTCTGTATTTGGTACAAACATGTCCAGGTTGCTTCTGCTTGGGTCTCAATGTTGCCAGATGTTCCTCAAGCATGTGTCCTTTAATTGTTGCAGATTGCTCCAAATATGTCACGTCAATTATGTCATCCTAAAAAAGTGATCTTTTGACACTGGACCAAAAAGTGTATTTTATTATTACACTTTTGAATATATGCCATACACAATGAAACCTGTCTTATTGAACACCTCTATATTTAGTGAACACCAGTGTCTAGGAGACACCCTTTCTCTACACATACTCTCCTGACTTGAAATTTCCCTATGTGTAGTGAGCTACTACCAACAATGAAAGTTTTTTCTCGGCAAAAAATATTCAATATACACAGGTTAAAATTACTGTATTTCTTAATTCGGGTATAAAAAGTTAATTAATTGTAAAAGTAATATGTTTAACCTAGTTTTATTTTAGAATCATGTACCTCTGTAATATTGTCAGATGCTTTTGTCAGTCAAGCTCCTCTGTAAGAAAGGAATGTCACTTTTAAGTGAGGGAGATGGGGCAAGCATAATCTTCATGGAGAAACAAGTAAACAAAATTGCTGTTGCTAGGCTGTGGCAGGCCCTGATTGGCTAAGCATGTTCATAGATTTATCTCTAATTCAAAGAGTGGGATATAGTACATGTTTCTTGCAGAATGCAAATTACAGTACATATAATTTAACAGGCCCAAATCCAGTTTTTTCCAAGGGAGGGTTTACAAAAATTCTAAGGGGGTTCTCATTTGACAAAAGATCACTTGAAAAATGCTCAGAATGGTGAAAAACTGCATGGTTCTAAAATAGGAGTTTCATTTCACTCAAACCCCCTCCCTCCCCTGGTTAGGGTCTGATTTAATGACAGAGAAGATATAAAGAGCATTGCAACTCATGAGTGATACATAAAATGTCAATGATGGTGTTTGTAATGCATTAATATGTCAGAAGAATGATAATTACATCTTATATATTGTTATTATAATAGCTTTTTCCTTAACAACCTCATAAACACAGACCTTTATTAAGTTCACTTATCATATATGAATGATTCTTAAATATTTTTTTGCCTTGTTGATCGACAAGCATAATTAAATAAAAGGTTTAAAACATATGTATCACACTTTATTTTGGTTCTAAATAAATATAAGAATTGTTGAAAAAATCATATGGATGATCTATATAGCAGAGTAGACTAAGAAAATTATTATTTATTTTGTATATAAAAGTATATTTTTAAAAATCATTGTCATCACAATATACCTATGGGGTATCAGTATGATTTTTAGTGGTATGATTTTTATTGTTGATATCAATATCTAGACAAGTGAGTGCAGTGTAGATAATTGAATTGAACAATACATTTGCATGAGATAAAATCTCATTTTTTCAAAATAATGAAGTCTTGTCATGTCTTTTAATGTTCATAAAATTAGTTGTTTTGTTCACATGTTAAAAATGCATAATGATTTTTCTTGAGAGGAAATATGTATATGATTATATCTAATAACATGTATGTTATTGGTTAAATGTAATATGACTTATTCTAAAGAGGAAACTTGAGTTTATTGGGGAATGTCTCAAAAGTCAAAGAAATTTTACAGTTGTCACATTTTCAAATGTTTTTTTTTAAATTTAAACTTAAATCAGGAAGGACAATATACAAGTAAACAGTCAACCATTTTGAAAAAGAAAGTTAGAAAAGGTATGAATGCATAACTTTCTCAGATTTTTTTCATGTTCCAAATACCCTAAGATTTTTTTAAAGTCTGGCTTTAAGCCCTAATGTGCCCCCATATACCTCACCTCCACTGATGCCAGGCTATATTCAACATATGTTCTAACATGCACTTGATTTGATTTGATTTGAAAACTATATTTATTCTGGGTATAGCTCTTCCTAGAGGCCCGGTGAGAATTTACAATTATTTACAATATTTACAAATAGATATAATAGGACATATAGAACAATTGATATATATGTAACTTCAAAAAGTATGCATTTTTTGTTGCTGAAATAATATAATAGTACAAAAAATAAAAATAAAATAAGAAATAAATTGCAGTATAAAATACAAGGAGTAAAGTAAGATGTTTTCGTCATCTGACATTAAATATATTCATATTCCCTAATAAATCATAGTTTAAACCAAAATGTGAATTTGATACGACCCTCTCTAAATGTAATTGAACTAAATGTGTTGACCTTTGTAATATTTTGGCCAGGTTTTTACCTCGGCTGAAATGGTCTCTCATGTAATGATGATTGATGCACATTTGGATATATAGTTAGGATAACAAAGTTCACATCATTTTTCAAAATTCATCGCAGATTGATAGGCATGTTTTTGAAGGATTTATAGCAGTTCTGTTTCGATATTTTTGGAAGCGATTAATTTTTTACCAAAAATGGCATGGAAGAACATTGAAATAATCTATTGACAAAACTTAATACAGGAAGAGATTGGATCATAGTCTAGATATTATACAATATATTACATTGAAAATTGAGCAAAATAGTACGCAAATTTTTTTTTTATCAAATCGATGGAAAATTCAATTAAACGACTGTATAATTAAACACACATTAGATTCAATATATGCAAATAAATGCATTATTGGTAATTTATTGTGTTTGATACTTTGGTAAATTACTTAATAATTGCTCCAATTATGCGAAAAAGTGACTGATGCCGATGACACATTGAAAAATATCTGTTTTGGACTGAATTTGTGCGATGCATGTCAATTGGCATCATAATTTGGAAAAAATAATACAAGTCCACTGCATTGGATTACGCTTGGCTTGGCTCTAACAATTGATTAGAATTCTCATAGAACTTGGCTGAAAGGAACCTATTGGAAGAAATTAACAGTAGAATTGAGTTCATTTAAAAAAACAGGAAAATGTACGCCAGCTACAGCTCTCGTGAAAGACCTGATGTCATAGTTGCGTTTAATGTTGATCCTGCCTCTGACGGCAAAATACGTCGTAGTAATAGTTTCACGACGCTTCAGGCATGTCTCCCGGCAACCAAAGCACTCAGGGTCAAAACAACATCTATATTTGAGTTGACTGACTTGGGTGTTGAGAGAAACATCACTTATACTGAAAGTAGGTAGCTTAATTTAGGTCAAGGTCACTTCAAGCTGTCAAGGTCACTGTTTAATTATTATTATTTAGTCAACAAGTTTTATTATTATTATTGCTTAATATTCTCATTATGTATTATCAGCTAATGGTAAAGTTATTTATATTATTTTGAAAATAATTATATTTGGTTGAATATGTTTGAATATCACTTTAGATATCCCTTAATGGAATGATTTTCAGTGGTTTGGGGATTTTCTATTGACAATTATTTGGATCTGCTTATCATAATGGTATCTTTATGTGAAATAGGATCTGCAAATATGTATATCTATTCAACCATGGGATAAATATGATATTTCCAACCTGCTCCTCATTTTTATGACATATTACCTGTAAATTACCAAGTGTTATCTACTTTAGTATAAGATACATTGGGTATTATTCATGTTAGGGAAGATTTAGACATTTTTAGGCTAAAACTGTAGAAGTACTTTTTATATTTTTATTTATTTTTTAGTATGCCCTATAGAATTACTATATCCTGACTGGCGTAGCGTTTGCCTCTCATGTTTTTTATTTGCCTTTCCAATTTTAAAATCCCGAATTCACGCACCCCCCACCCCCTCCCCCACCCCACATCATAACATTAAATAATAACCATGGTCACATTTTACAGACGGTTGCACATTAGGGTGGCTGAAACTTATACTCCCCAAAAAAAACTAAATTGTATCATCTTTAACTTACCCAATCAAATGACAAAAGTTGAAAGTTGATGGGTGTTTTCTACATAGAAACTTTTGGTCAGAAATGAAAATGTGAATTTGGCAGTATTCCAACTTCATGTTAAATTATAACTATATTTAAGGCCTATCATTATTTATTCCGATTCAAACATAAAAATTAGTAAAAGCCGTGTCTGTGGAACGGGCATGAAGGAAGAATACGAACAGCTATCCCCTGACAGAGCCCCAGATGTGCAGCTGAGATGTGACGTCACTCAAAACAATGCAAATTGCAGATTGAATAGAGCATGGTCGTGCATCTATGGAGAATTAGAGAACGTTCTATATTGGCTATGCTGCATTCTGATTGGTTGAGAAATTGGAATAGAGCACGGTCATGTTTGAATTTATTTTAAATAATATATCCAATTTTCGCACCTAATTTATCACTAGTGCATATATAGATGTGGAATGGATGATTAATTAATATTCCTTAATATGTTTAATTGTTATTATAGAGTACATGTAGTTAAGGATGCAAATGATATTAGATTTATGTAAAGAAAGAACATGTGCCCAAGTGACACCTTGAACTAACTGGTAACAGCACACGAAAAAACACAACTTACCTTACAAACATTTTTCCAAATTCTTGATTTTTGTTTAATTTACAAAAAAAAATTTGAATTGATTTTCTTCCAATATATATTTTTACTCATTCAGAATCTTAAGTAATAGAAATTAAAATCTTTAAGTCTCAATTTATGCTTTAAACTTTGAGGAATATTTTTTGTAAGGGTTAATTTATCTTTACATCTTGGAAAAGTATAATTAGAAATGAAATTTAAACACATATGAGCTAACATATTAGGTCATAGTATTCCTTAAAGTTGTAAGTCAAAGAGACATAACTAGTGTAATAGTATAAAACAAGGGAGGATATTATCAAAGTTTGATGTGATAAAGAATGGATTATAATTAGAAGTCAATTTGTGGATTATAACATTGAATTATCGACAAAGTGACGATACCAAGGAATTTTGTGACAGAACTTGGAATTTTAGAATACTCAAAAACTTCTGGAAAATATCTAAGTATAACTTGGATATTTTAGCTTTGTGCTGTGTTGTGAACATATTGTAAATGTACGATAACGTTACGATTAGGCGTTACTCATGGGATTCCATATTGTCAATCGAAACTCTAGGTAAATACTAAGAGGCTTCGCTTTGTATAGTACTGACACATATTTAATTGTGTTGTACGGAAAAGCAGTGCAACCACCCCATACTATTTGGGAGATCAACCCTCCAGGATAGCAAAGATCAGCTTTGTCGAAACTCTTTAAATTTGAGACACTTCTTTGATCTAAGCCAGTATCCAATAACACAATTTAATTCACATTTAGATTTTTATAAAATTCCGCGAAAGCTTCATCTAAGCTTGTTAAAACCATATCAGGGCCAAATTGTCAAATCATTTGTAATATTAAGAGGGTTGTGTGACAAGTTTGACTCATCAGGGTAAAGGAGTTTTTATGTGTTTCAGATGGCCGGGAAAAGAAGAAAAAGTTCCATCCTCTGCGTGCCATGAAGCGTTTGTTCAGCAGAAAGCGTACAAAGTCACGTGATGACGAGAGTGTCAGTGTTATATCAGTGAAGGCCAAGTCAACCAGCGCACTACACGCACATATGGAGGAAGATCCGTACCCTGGCAGGTAAAAGCGATATGTACAATTTATGAAGCATATTGTAACATGGGTATAAAGAGCACATGAAAGCTTTTTTATGTCACCACCAAAAGTGGTGGTATATTGTTATAGCTGCTAACTTTTTGTTGTAGATTGTGTTCAGAGAGTTGGTGACATTATGTTATGGCTTCAACATTCAGTTCATAAATGTTGCATCCCTCAAGTCTGACCAACCTCAAGTCTTAACTAAGATACTTCCATTGTTTTAAGTACAGTACATATATATTGTATTCAAAGTGGCATACTGCATGACCTTCGGGCGTCTTCAATCTCATTCAGTTATTCTAACTCTTTAACATTTACAGGAGCTAAGCCTTTGCCATCACAAGTAAATTGTCAAGAAATCACTATGTAACAACATTTTTTCTGCTGTTATCCCATCGAACGAAGTTCGGAGGGATATAGGGAACGCCTCCATCCGTCCGTACGTACATCTGTACGTCCGTCCATCCGTCCGTCCGGGCAATAACTTGAATACTGTTGGCCCGATTTTGTTCATATTTTGTACACATATACCCTATGGGGGTAGAAGTTCTGCTCAAAAGCCGCTTTTCAAAATGGCCGCTCATTTAAAAATGGTTGCCATTTTAGTGCCGATTTTACAGTAATTTAGGTGCAATATGTAAAACTGTAATAGCAATATGTTTTAAATGTAAAAAAATTATGTAGGACATTAATAAAGCTAGAAATGTAGATATTAAAGAAGCACATGGCAGCCATCTTGAAAAATGGCGGCCTTTACTCGTTATTTTACGATTTTTGCTCTAACTCAAAAAGTAGTGGAGCGATCTTGTTCATATTTGGTATGTGAATACTATAAGCATGGCACACTGTCTAGTGACACTTTTGGTAGAAGGCGGCCATTTTGAAAAATGGTGGACATTTTGAAAAATTGTGGCCATTTTAACATATTTTACTATAACTCGAAAAGTAGTAGAGCGATTTTGTTCATATTTGTTATGTGAATACTATAAGCATGGCACACTGTCTAATGACACTTTTGGTAGAAGGTGGCCATTTTGAAAAATTGCCACCATTTTAATGTTTTTTACTATAACTCGAAAAGTAGGGGAGCGATTTTGTTCATATTTGGTATGTGAATACTATAAGCATTGCACACTGTCGAATGACACTTTTGGTAGAAGGTGGCCTTGCTATTTACTTTGTTTGTAAAGATGCCAGCCATGGCTGTTTGATGGGATTCGCTACGCTTTGGCGTTGCTGTTGTTCTGGTTCATGCTATATTCAATATACTAGATCATTCAATAAGTTCGAGTTCATTTCAAAAGTTTTTGATTTTTATGAAATTTTCATTTAACATCCAAATTTTATATGGTTACTGATTCGTAAAACATCAGCATCTCTCATTTGATTGGTCAAAAATAACAGTTACTATGGTGACTTGACTTTTGGGTTTTTAAGGCTGTGTCAACTCCATTTTAGATCATTAAGATCTGTAAAATCACTGTTGTAGTAGAGGAAACTTTGCTTTGAATGTGTGGTCCAGGGTATTTTAATTCTGTACTTACCACACATATGTGCTTTCTTTCGTCTTTCCTTTCGCATCATTGTTGCCAATTGTATATAATGCTATCATGTAAAATACAAATGTTATTACGGTCAACGGAAGCAGCTTTGGTGTCATTTTACTTCTTAAAGTCTAATTCTTTATTTGTTTGATACCAGATGGCAGTTAAAATAAATACTCCCCTGCGAGCTCCCCTGAGAGTGGGGAAAGCCTCTGTTATCAAATGATCCCAGAGATTGTCGGAGAGATATTGCACTTATTATTGTTTTTCCACAATTGCGATGACCATGCCCCTTTGTCTTGAAGTGACATATAATTCTGCCCTTTAAGCTGATCTATTTATCCAGAATCCCCTGCAAATGGCAGATAAGAGGAGGTCTGGTAAACAGGATGATTTTAGAGCCTTACGTGATTTCTGAAACTGCACACAGACCCGTCACCTTAGTTTGGTGCTATATTTTTTTTAAGGTTATTTTTATTTAATTCCATATTATTCAACATAATTATTTACATAGATTGTGAGGGGCCGAGGCTATATAGCATTATTGGTGCTATATTGATAGGAGCTGATGTGATCATCACAAGACTTGAATAGACCAGCATGAACAATCATATACAGGATGAAATATAATGTGCAATATTTTATTATCATTTCAGAGGGGGTAATGCTCCTAATTTGAACAGCCAATTGAGCATGTCTGCAGACAGCATCTTCCCCCTTGACCCCAAGGCTGTTGATGACCTGGATGCTGCACATTCAATGGAGGCCCTGAGTTCTAGAGATATGAAGGTACGTGAACTTTGATTGGTTCTTTTCCAGGATTTTAGGTAACCGAACCAACACTGACCAATCATAGTAATGTGAAATATGATTGGTTGGATAAATTATTTCAGGTTATTCATCTGAGAATTCTCCAATCACAGGATGTGGATTTTGATTGGTCGGTTGTAGGATTTCAAGAAAGCTAAACCAAGAACAACTGTTAAATGTGTAATTTGATTGGTTAAAGTTGTAGGAGCAGAATTTTTGAAACTGAATGAGAAACAAATCGCAGAATGTGTTATACGATTAATTGATTTGTAGGATTTTATGGAGCTTGGTGCTGGTGAAAACTGACCAACCACAATGCTTGTCTGTTTGTGTATTGTGATTGGTCGTTTGTAGGTGTTTTGGAAATGTGCAATTACAACTAACTGTGCATTTATGTGAAATATAAATTAGTTTGCAGGAAAAACCAATCACAGTCTATATGCATATAAATGTGTAGAATTAGATTGATTTATAGTAATTTAGGAAGTCAGTACTGTCATAACTAACAATCGTCTCTTGGACCACAATTTGATATTTGATAGCAGAATACATGAAACTTCAAGAAGAAGAGAATGATGTCGCCCTGCTGAAATGTGACCTTACGTTCTGTATTATCCCAGGTGGGGAGTTGATATATTTTGTGATATGAATGACTCTTACTGCAGACATCATAGCTTCTTGTTTTATGATGTCATAAAGAACCATTATGCTGGCATACTACACACTTGAGACTGCCACAGCTGGGCAGGTATATCTCCCTATATACTATAATATGTGGGTGGCCAAACTACATGTTCCCATAAAAGTCACATATTGGACACCATAAACAATGCCCTTTATAGTACACTCCCCTCCATAAGTTTGGCAACCAAAAGTTATCCTTTTGGATCACTTATCAAAGCTTGTTTATGTTTTGCGATTTAAAAAAATTCATTAAAGTTATAAAAATCCCAGGTATTGAAATTAACGAACAAAGTTGAGATTCAAACATTAACAATTTGACATGCTTTGATATGTTATCCAATAAAAACTTCCTGTTTCCAAACTTATGAAGGGGAGTGTAAGTGTTCATATAAAAGCCTCAAATGATTTCATTCAGTTGTTCATTTCATTCATTTTGATTAGAACAACATAAAACACCTAAGACATGAAGACATGTGTTTGTTGTTCCAAGGAGTTGTGATAGTTACACTCATTCATCGTAAGATTGTATTAAAAGATGTCACTGTCAGTTATACTTTTATTGGAGTGTTAGATTGAAATGTTATCTGAACCTTGTCTTGATTATTCTTGATTACCAGTACAATCATGCAAATCAACCCCTTATAAATGGTATAGCCCTTTCTATGAAGGGAATAGCCACTTTCTGTGGAGGGTATAGCCCTTTTCTGTGGAGGGCATAGCCCTTTGTTATGGAGGATATAGCCCTTTGTTATGGAGGATATAGCCCTTTGTTATGGAGGGTATAGCCTTTTTTATGGAGGGTATAGCCCTTTGCTGTAGAGGATAATATAGCCCTTTGCTGTAGAGGATATTATAACATACCTATGATGATGTATAGTGCAAAGTGTACACAAGACTGCGGGCCAATATAAGTTTTGAAAAGCCCGCGCCCGCTAACTTTCTGATTGGTCAAGGCGCTGACGTCATAACCAATCAATCGAAGATAAAACTGCGCGAGCAATTTTTCTAAACTCATTTCAATCATTTTCAAACCATTTGTTTGTCAATTCTATAAGAAAACGGTACTCTCTGACCAGTCTACATCATCATAGGTATGTTATAAATCGTTTATGTTACTATCGTGGCACATATGCCCTCGGTTCTCAGAGATCAATGTCCTTCCCAAGGTCGGGCCATATATCACTGAGACCTCGGGCATATATGCCACGTTGTGACATAACCTCTAAATATAGCCCTTTGATGTGGAGGATATAGCCCTTTGCTATGGAGGATATAGCCCTTTGTTATGGAAGGTATAATAGCCCTTTGCTGTAGAGGAAAATATAACCCTTTGTGGAGGATGTTTAGAGGATATATCCCTTTGTTATGGAAGTTGTGGCCCTTTGATATGGAGGGTATAGCCCTTTGCTGTAGAGGTTATTGTCCTTTGCTATGGCGATTGGTCTGACAAGTGTATAAGAGTTTAACCTGTGAGAGGTCTAATTAGTCAGTTAATCAGCCACCCAGGATTCTCCCTGCACTGGAGCTACATATAAACTTATGCTGTGAATCAGCTGATTGGGATTATCTTAGGGAACACATCATGGTATCAGATTGCCATAAACTGAAATATCTTGAGAAAGCCTATATACATGAACATATTTTATAGTCTTATGAGACAGTGCCTATTAAATATTGTGATGACTCCCCTCCCCCTAAATCTGGATGTGAGGTAGAGAGGGTGGAATGCAAAATTACCCTCACTTTTGTAAGATAAATTCATGGGGAGTAAGTCACCCCTCCCTCTTATATTCCGTAGCCTATATTACTTTTAATATAGAGAATATTAAAGAGAGGGGGGGGGGTGACTTACTCCCCGTGGATAAATCCATATCCAAATGAGAATATGTCACTGAATTGTGAACATAAAACCCACTAAGATGGATATGCTTTTCCCTAAAAAGCAGTTAACTAAAAATAAAAATTACCAGTCATCTCCGCATGTCTCTGTAATGGATGCAGTGGGTGGCAGCGTGTAGTAAAGAATAACCCCAATGCAAGCGGCAGCAATCAGAGTGACTACAGCCATTATGAGCAGCACCAGTCTTCCTTTGCGCTCCATATCCGTATGTCGATGGTGACTTGAATATGATTGAGCTAATTTTGTATGAGGCCTCAGTGTTTTTATTACCTATTTTTGTATACAACTGAGGTGTACAGTTTTACCTCTGGGCATTAAGTGCTTCCGTGTTATTTTTTATTCATTTACCAACACTATTTTTGGGTGTGTGTCTGTTTGAGATCTGTTTTTAGTATTTTGCTTTCTTCTCTTTTGGTTCATTAAGCGCTTGTTCGCTATTTTTCAATTTATTCAATCTTGACGGTGACTTCTTGTCCTTTGTAGTTGGTGTTACTTCTTTCTGATCTTTCCTGTTGTTTCAAAACAAATGTCTTTAAAAGTATGAATTTTTAGAATAATATTTTATATCCTTATTCATACAAAAAGTTGTACATGTATACACTATTAAAATGCCAAAAATCTTTTAAGTGTATGTTCAAAAATATTAAGCAAATATCTCGACTTCTTAAGGTGGCTTGTATTGTGATATATTTAATGTTATTCATGGTGCATACTAAACAAGATCCTCTGGTTAAAAGGTCAGTTTATATTTTGTATAGATTTCGTGGTAACCATTAAACTCTGGTTAGGGATAGTGTCTAATTATCGACAGTTGTGGAAAAATGGAGTTAGTTTCGTTAGGGGGTAGGGGGTAAATTATGGTTTGTTAGCAAATAGTGTTGATTTTTTAATATTCAAGAAAAAGAAAAACTAACATTTTAAAATTTCATTAGATAAGTGGAGGGGGTCAAACCATAAAAAATTAACTTCGCCTTTCTCACGACTAATGATGATTTGACATCACCCCTTATTTAAATGATGTTGGTTAAGCTATGCTCCTTCAGGGATGGTCTCCAAATGTTAACAGTTGTTGAAAAATTAATGTATTTTCATTAAAGTTCGAGGAATTTGAAGATTGATAATGATTAACTGTATATGTCCAAAGACCAAAAATAATTATTTTTCACTGATGGAATTGTCATTCCCCCCCCCCTCCTCCCTCTGCCTAAAGAGGAAATGTTGATAACTTGTTCCTCCCCATATTTGGACATCATTCCCATTTATGTCTGAACAATTTTTGAAGTGAAGTAAAAATAATATGTCAACATGAGATCTGATGGACTATGTATACACACCTATCAACAGGGTATAAGTGACCATTTCAATGCTCTTCGAGAAGCTATGATGTTTTTGATCTTGTCTGGACAAATCGCTTGTGCTGAAACTTACAAAAAGTCAAGTGATTTATAACACGATTCAAATCTATTATGGATATCTCATTTGCGATTGATTGAAATAATTTCACTTTTCTTTTTGCCTGGTTTATAAGCCACAGTGTATTGTGTTAGGTTGGATAATACCAGGATTTTCAGACACCCTGTATTCATAATATGATTTGGTTTATTAAGACGATCAGTAAGCACTCTGTATTTTAATGCTGGATTTAATGGATATTTTAATGCCTGGTTTATTGAACATTATGTATTTTAAATAATGCTGATTATGAGACACCCTGTATTCTTTTTGAAATGATCTGGTTAATTGAGCACCCTGTATTTTAATGCCTCATTGACCTAAACCATACTTTTATTCTTTCATTAATCTTCTCAAGCAGATGTTAATATTTAGTCATACTCTGATGGTTTTATGATTCTTTTCAGTACTGCTGCGTTGAGATAAAGCAATATCAAGAAATTGCTGCACCATTTGAAGCATTAGAAATTGATATGAAGTATTATTATTGAAACTTTACACTATGTTACCACTACCCTGCGTGTAGAGTCTAGTAAAACTACAGACGAAGCTCTCTTTTAAGAAGTGAAGTCAAACGAATGCAAAGGGTATGTTACCACTTTGATACCTAGTCCATATCTGTCTTGTGCCATAGAGCTCATAAGGGATGATATGAAGCAGAGATCTCTCACAGGCCATGTTATGGTCACGTTGACTTGTTTTCTTGTTGTATTTCCTGAACATTTTGGGTTTGGTTTAGTTTGTGAAACAGACTCACTTTTACCAATGTGCTGGAGATATTGAAAGGAGAGTTGGTTTGAAAGGAGTTACACCAGTGGCTCAAAAGCATCTCATTTGGGAGACAATAATTAATCATTCTACTTTTTAAAAAATGATTGTGGGGTATTTTGTGTAGAATTTGGTTGGAAGGTAAGGCCTGTCATACTGTAAACCAGGCCTTCAA